TTTTTTTTTTTTTTTTTTTTTGGCAGAACCAGGGATTGAACTCAGACACTTAGGCTTGCCAGGCAAGTGCTTATTCTACTGAGCCATCTCTCCGGCCAGAGGCTTGTGGGTCTGAGCCAGAGAGTCGAAGAGCCTAGGCCGGAAGGCTGAATGATCCACAGCAGGAGCTGACGAGTCTGCAGTCAAAGCCAGGTGACATCCAGGCGAAGGGGAGACCTGGAGCTCCTCTGAAGGACAGAGCAAGCCCATCTTTTCTCATTTCTCGATACTGCTGGGGAGCTGGAGCCCCCCAGGGCGGGTCCCCAACATCCTGGGGTGTGGAATTGCTGAGCTCTTGTAGTTCAACATCTGAACTTCTCAAGCGGGTACAACCCACCGTCACACCCGTGTAGGGGGTCCCTGTGTGCGCTCGAGTGGTGGAATGGTCCTGGTCATGGAGGTGGGAAGTGTTCGCGGAACCCAGGAGAGCGCGGGCTGTGTCTTGGTGCTTGTGGGTGCCGTGACAACAGTCAGTGGAGGACAGCAGTGTCCTGGACAGGAGAGACAGCAGCTGGTGGCTCTGCCCCTCAGCCGTGAGCACACGCGCCATCCCAGCTGCGCAGGATCACGACCCGCCTCGGAGCCACCTGAGCGCAAAGGAATGGGTGTGGGGGAGGGTCCGGTACTGTACGTGCCATGTGACAATAGGGGCTAGCGTGCCTGTTAGCACTTTCTTACTTTGATCTGAATGCAAAACAGCAGGAACCAAAGATGGGAAAAGGGCCTTTGTGTCCACCTTCAGAGAGAGGAGAAGGGTGTTTTTGGTTGTATGAAAGTAGTTGGATCATGTTAGGTGAAACTGTGATTTTCTATCTTTTGAAGTTAAGATAGGGTTACGGGGGATATCTGTGGTTGATGCCAAGTTGGTGAGGCTTGGGCTTTGGTGAGTTTGCACCATGCCAGTGTGTCTAAAACAGAGCTAAATGTCTCAGAATTATCTTTCCTGTGTTCTTTTCCCCCCCGTGTTCTTTTTTAATTTTAATTATTGTGAGAGACGGTCTCGCTATGTAGTCCTAACTGGCCAACTCACTATATAGCTGGAGCTGGCCATCCTCCTGCCTCAGCCTCCCGAGTGCTAGGATTACAGGCACGTCCACCACACCCAGCTCCCTGTGGGCTTCTCAGTCATGCTGCTCACCAGAGACATCTTGTGTGAAGGGGGAAGCCAGCCGAGAAACCAAGCTGTGTGCATTTTACTTTCTGAAGGTGGATGTAGGGTGTGAGGTGAAGGCTCTGGCACATTCACGGCGCTGCCACCAGTGTGGCGGACCACTTCGTGGCTGTGGGTGGCAGTCAGTTCCCAGCTCTAAAGGATACCAGTGATAGCCAAGCATGGTGGCACATGCCTGTAACCCCCGCCTCGGGAGGCTGAGGCAGAGGGATTGCTTTCAGACTGAGTGAGTTTAAGGCCAGTCTGGACTACACAGCGAGGCCCTGTCTCAAAAAACAAGACAAATCAGAGGACGCGAGTCGCTCCCGGTAATTACCCGCGATGTCTGATGTTGGAGGTGGCAAGGGAGGCCTAGGTCTCCGTCTCTGTCTCTTACCCCTGGCCACCTCAGGTTAGCTCTCTTGTGCTGGCTGAGGCAGAGGTCCTGCCTGCGTGGACTTCACACCAGCTCTCGCCACCACGGTCACTTATGATGATGACTGTTCAAGGACAGTCAGGAGGGACATGGGAGCAGTGTTGTCTTGTCTCAAAGAATAGCCCACTGCAGGGGAGACTGTTTTTTTTTTTTAAATTAATTTATTTATTTATTGTGCGTGTGTGTGTGTGTGTGTGTGTGTGGCCAGCTCAGCCCACCAGGGGGCGGGGCTGGCTGGCATGTGGTGCTGGGGAATTGAACTGTGGTCCCTGTGCTTTGCCAAGCTTGTTCTAAGTAGGTGCTTTAGACCACTGAGCCATCTCACCAGCCCGGGAGACTGTTTTAATTACTGTCTTGTTCCTGAGCTACAGGACCTGACACCCACAGTTTGGAGGAGGAGAGGTTTTAGTTGACACATAGCTTCAGTCTAGTTTAGGATGCTGAAACACAGAAGGGCCCTGTGGAAGGCCTGGGGGTGGGGAGAAGCCTGGTTCTACCACCAGGTGGAGGCGTGGGGTGGGGGGAAGGGGAGGGGCAGGAAGCCCAGAGGAGGGCAGGGAGGAGCCGGGGAGCAAGCTGCACCTTCCAGGCAGCACCCCCTGCCCACCTGCAGTCAGACCCCACCTCCTCTAACAGGGTCTGTGGTCCAGCTAAACCTTAACAGACCATACACAATTTTTTTTTTTTTTTT